TAAATAAATCAAATATGGATATAGATCGAACCGATCCGATCCGATATCACTAAAACATTCCAAAATGATATTTTAGACCTTCTATTATAATAAGTGAGTCCATCAATATAGTTCAAATATTTTTTAAAATAAATAATTAATTAAAATCTTGTTGGGCTGTGATTTTCAATGAAAAAATAAATAAAATTTTTATTTTTCTAATTTTTTCATTTCGGATCTAATTTCTGATAATATAGTTAATCGGATATGAATTTAACATTCAAATATCTGTTGGATTATTGGATTGGATCAAATAGGATAATTATTCTTAACAGATCGAATCGAATTTGAGGAGATCCGATCCATTTATAACCCTAACTTCAATGCAAAGATTCCACAATCGTCCTGGTTCGAATTCACAGAAGAGGTTGGGCAACGTACTGTCAACGAATGTTCTCTTCTTTGCCTCGATGGTGTACGGGAAAATAATGTGTTGTGATAGCAATCTAGTCCTCTTACTAACCATTTGCTTTGACGCATCAATAAACATATTTCTTACATAATGTCACTTTCATCGTCTTCTCCGGCATAATTATCACATTATCCAAACTCGCGACATTATCTGTCAAGTTGGGGGGTCATTTCCGGCATAGTTGTGTATATTAATGTGTGTTTAGTTTATCAGCTCTATGCCACGTTCGATACTAAAAATTCAATGTACTTCAATTAGGGCTGTCAATAGATTGGATTTTGATCTGAATTCGATGAAATTAATGGGAGATAGATTTAGGGTCTCAATCGGAAGATCCAATCAAGATTCAAATCCGATAATCCGTTTACTAAATAAATCAAATATGGATATATGTCAATCTAATCTGATAAATAAATAAAATCTTGATTTATCTATTTTTTTCAATTTCGAATTGGATATCCAATAACATAATTAATTGAATATGGATTTAACATTCAAATATCCGTCGAATTATTGAATCGGATCGGATAGGATAGGATAATTATTATTAGCGAATCGGATCAAATTTGAGCAGATTCGATCCATATATCCGATCCATTTACGGTCCTAACTTCAATGCGAAGATTTCACAATCACCCCGAGTCGATTTCACGAAAGAGGTTGGGCAACGTACCGTCAACAAATGTTCTCTTTTTTGCCTCGATCGTATACAGAGAAACAATGTATTGTGATAGCAATCTAGTTCTCTTGCTAACTATTTGTTCTGGCACCTCAATAATATGTTTCGTACAGGGTGTCATCCAAACTCGCGATGTTATCTGTCAAGTTGGGAGTCCTTTTCGGCATAGTTATGTATATTATTTATTTAATAATTAATTACGTTGTTTAATTATTTATTTAATCACTTAATTAAATGAAAAATTAATATTTAATTTAATTTCTTATTTAGATATTTCATTTATAAATTATCTTAATTGGTTGTGTGTAGTATATATCTAATATTTCATTACTTTATTTAAATAAATTTTACAATATATATATAATTATTTCATAAATAAAAAAATATTCACCTTGTTAATGACCATGCATGCATCGTCGTATTTCTTGAATGTATCTCCCAACTGTGTCAGAATTACCGTCATAAGTAGGATCGATGTAACAAGTCTGCGTGCTCCTCATTCAACAAATATAGGACTAATGCGAAGCAAGCAAAGTTATAGTTCGACGCAACTTTGTTAGCAATATGTCTCATGGCAGTGTTCAAATGGCAATCCATCTTGTAAAATTTAAAATATTTATATTTCTTTGTTATTTATGTCAATTAATTATTTTTATTGCTTAATTAACATTTAAATTACTTGTTTATTGAATTTATTTCAATTAATTATTTATTATCATTTAAATAATCATTTAATTATTTGTCATTCAAATAATCATTTAATTATTATTTAAATGTTCACCGAGTTAATAATCATGCATCGAAATTTCGAAATGACGTACAACATAAATCACAAATGAATAATACTTACCTCAAGATCGTTGAGGAGAGCTGATAACTGTCAGCTTTGTCCCCATGGATAGTTGTTAAATGTGTTAATGTCATCAACAACTTCCAAATCTAGAACTAATGCGAAGCTGATAAAATTATAGTTCGACGTAATTTTATCGAGAATCTGTCTCATAGCGACGTCCAAATGGTAATTCATCTTGTAAAATATAAAATATTTAGACCTTGTATAAGAGAAAATAGATAGAGCATAATATTTGAAAATTAAATAGTTTATTTACTTATTTAAATTGTGTATTAAATATTTAATTGTTAACTATTTATTTAAATTGTTCATTTAAATTATTT